CCAGGTGTGAAGGCAGGGTCCCGGGTTCAGAGTCAGGGTCCCAGGTGTGAAGGTGGGATTCCGGGTGCGGAGGCAGGATCCCGGATGCAGAGTCAAGGTCCCAGGTGTGAAGGCAGGGTCCCGGCTTCAGAGTCAGGGTCCCAGGTGTGAAGGCGGGATTCTGGGTGCCGAGGCAGGATCCCGGATGCAGAAGCAGGGTCCCGGGTTCAGAGTCAGGGTCCCTAGTGTGAAGGTGGGGTCCCGGGTGCGGAGGCGGGGTCCCGGGTCCACAGTCAGAGTCCCAGGTGTGAAGGCGGATTCCCTGTGTGGAGACGGGGTCCCGGGTGTGGAGGCGGGAGCAAACAGACTTGCTGGGGGATTGGGGCAGCTGCCCCTGGGTAGTGTGATGTGGGCCTGCTTCCCGAGGAGAGTATGGCCTAGTGGGTAAGAGCAGAGATTTGAGAGGCAGACCCCCTTAGCTCCTGCCTCACAGGGTGGGTTTTTATCTGTGTAAAATGCTCAGAACAGTTTCTGGCGCACACAGCATTAGCTTTATTGCAGTGGGGATAGCAGGAATGGAAAGGCCTGGATGAACCAGCGGTGGGGGTGGGGACAGTGTTGAACAGGGTACAGAGGGCAGGTTGTCGACAGAATAACTGGAGTCTGGAGGGGAGGGTAATGGAGTCTGGAGATGAAAGTGAAGAACTAGCCACTTGAGTTTGAAACTCCCTGTATCTTGAGAAAGTGATTGGCGCTAAGGACATGGCTTTGGGGATTTTCTGGATAGCAGCAGTAATTGGAATCCTGCACTTGGTGGAGATTTACAAAGAGGATTTTCACATGGGGGAGGCTTTGAGCTAGCACCCCAGCCAGGAGGCACTGCATGGTGATGAGTCTTGTCTCCCTAGTGTGGGGGTGAAGGGTGGGACACAGTCTGAGACACCCCCCCCAACCCCCACCAAGCCAAGTCTGGCCTGATGCCCTGACACTGATTGGACTGGTTGGAGCTCCTCTGAGGAATATCGGCAACGAGAGCTGGGGCAGGATGCAGGGTGGACTTCCTGCCCTTGGCCTTCATGTGCCTCCTGTGTTAATGAGTGATCCTTGGTTTCCGTCTTCCCATCTGCTGTACAGTCATCCCTTTGTCATCTCCCTGGTTAGCATCAATCTGGGACAGCTTCCACCTGGTTCCGTTCTGTGGAATAGATGTACTGGGGGTCGGGGCGGGGGGAGCCCTGGTGGTCCAGTGGTTAAAGCTCTCAGCTGCTAGCTGAAAGGTCAGCGGTTTGAACCCACCGGCTGCTCCATGGGAGAAAGATGTGGCAGTCTGCTTCCATAAAGATTTACTGCCTTGGAAACCCTGTGGGGCAGTTCCACTGTCCTCTAGGGTCGCTATGAGTCAGAATCAAGTCAGCAGCAACAGGTTTTGGTTTTGAGAAGAAAAAAGTGGTCTCATATGCAAGTAAGTTTGAGAGGCGTTATTAGGTAAAACAAAATGGAAAAGACCTCTTATTGCTGGGTTTCTTGGGGCCTTTAATACACTGACAGTCACTCTCCAAGAGGTGACAGGGAAATGGGTGCAGTGTTTCTGCAAAGCTTTTGGACCAAGGAGGCTTTGCTTTGTACTGTCTTAATTTCTTCTGGAACCGGTTTTGGAAACTAAGGTTCGGGTCTCTGAAACGGTGTAGAGATATGCTCCCGGCTCGCTTGTCATGTACCCTGGCTCCCACACAGACAGACATGTTACGTGCATTCCTAGTCATCTTTTATTTTACGTTCAGTCATTGATAAGAGGCTGTCAACTCAAATGGAACCCAAACGGAAGCCCCTCGCCTCTCCTCTGCCTGCACCGCCCACCATCTGTCTGTCTCCTTTCTGCTCTGCAGCTACCTCAGTGTCTTTGTTGCTCTCAGAAGACAGGCTGGTCAGCCACAGCAGTTCTCCTTCTGGAAAGTTCTTAATCCCTCCACTTGTCTCCCTGTCCACCCTATATCCTGCACAGCACCTCTCTTCCCCAGAGCTTCTCCATGGCAGGTCCCTCAGGCCACAGCCAAGGGTAGCTGATACCATATGCCTTGTGTAGGCGCCATAGAACTGTAATCTCAGAGCCGCCTGTCACGTGAGCTTTTCACTAAATCAACCTAGCCTGATGCCCCGCTTGGTCTCAAAAAGTACGGTTTGGCTCTCAGGTCAGGGGACAGGAAGGGGACAGATACTCCACCTGACCTGGCCTGGCAGAGAAGACAGGTTGATCCCCTTGAATCTTCACCCTAAAGATCTGCCTGGTTTGGGCCAACACAGCTCCCACTACCCCAGCCCATGGCTGTGTCTTGTCTTCTCAGGAAAGAGCATCTATGGTGAACGCTTCCCCGATGAGAACTTCAAGCTGAAACACTATGGGCCTGGCTGGGTGAGCATGGCCAACGCAGGCAAAGACACCAACGGCTCCCAGTTCTTCATCACTACAGTCAAGACGTCCTGGCTAGATGGCAAGCATGTGGTGTTTGGCAAAGTTCTAGAGGGCATGGTAAGTTCTGGAGACTGGGGCTGCTCACCAGGGATCTGACACAGGCGTGGGGCTGGGGCTGCAGAGATTCCGTCCCTTCCCCAGGAGAACCCAACCCACAGATTCAGAGACTGTGCTCATGTCTACTAATCTGGGGGGAATCGAGAATCAACAGCCTGCGTCTTGGTGCCCCCCAAATTCTAAATCCTTGTGGGCCCCAGGCAGAGGCCAGCCAGGAGGCCTTGCTGAGGATGCATAACCACAGGAAGCTTCCCCTGTGCACTTAGACAGTGGTACGCGGGCTCCCCCCCGAGCTGAGCACCATGCCCCTAAAAGCCACCCGGTGTCGTACTCCCACCCACCCTCCTCTTCCCGTCACCCATGGGAACAACACTGCTGCTTCCCGTTGTCCCTGCCCTGGGCTGGCACCCTGGCCCTGCATCCTGGCCCTGGGTTCATCAGAATTTCAGTGCCTCAAGGTTTGTATGCTATTTGTCACATGTAGGTCTCAGCCCTCCTGAGCCACACACTGGGGCTTAGCTCGCTTCGCTCGAGTGGCTGACCTCCTGACCCACCCTGTCCTCCCTTTTCCGCCTTTCCTTCCCAGGATGTAGTCCGGAAGGTGGAGAGCACCAACACAGATGGTCGGGACAAGCCCCTGAAGGATGTGACGATCATAGACTGTGGCAAGATCGAGGTGGAGAAGCCCTTTGCCATCGCCAAGGAGTAGGGCCCCAGGGACCTCTTCCCTTTGAGCGACCTTTTGTGCAGCCCTGCTGCCCTCGGGGGTGAAGGTGGCCCGCCGCGGGGCTCTGCACTGCACTGGCCCTGGTACTGGCATCTGACGGAGCAGACCCACGCCCCACATTCCACAGGCCCAGTTTTGTAACAAACTCCTGCCAACACTGACCAATAAAAACCGGTGGATTTTTTTAATAACCTGCGTGTGGGCTGGGTTCTTGGGCCTGCAGCGCCTCCCCCAAGTCTGCCTCCCAGCATGTCCAGGGTTCTCCTGGGGCGGCGGATGCCAGTGTCTTCCTTAGGCTCCCGCCTGACCCTTCACCCAAGTGCCACCCACGGAAAGTCAGATGGGAGCTTTTGCTCCTTGCTTCTGAACTTTGCCAGCTACCGCGCCTCAACTTCTGTTTGCTTCTTGGTTTTGTTTTTTTTTCTTCTGGTCTAGGTTAAGAAATACCTTTTATGCCTTTTCATAGCTGACTTCTAAGTTGACTCCTCGCTTATCCCTTATCCTCTGTGTTCCTGCCTTGGCCCTTGGGTTCCAAGAGCACCTGAGTTCTACCACCCCAGCTACCAGTGCAGATGAGCTGTTGGCCCTGGGTGGTTAAGGCCTGGGAGGGCCCAGCCCTGGTCCCTTACATGGAGCTCATTGGAGCAAGGCACGCAACTGTCCTGACAGGTGGCCTCAAGGCCTCTAGGCTGGTCAGGGTGCCGGTGGCAGAGGAGCGGGGTGACAGGCAGCCACTGGCTGGGCTTTGCTGGGGCTGATGCTGAAGCCGTAGAAGCCCTGGAGCACGCCATTCACCACCACACTGGGCAGAGGCTCTGTGGGATGGAAGTAGAACAGGAGAAGGGCACGCAGGAAGAGGAGGCCTGTCACCGGCCTGGCTCTAGGCCCACAGCAATCTGAGCTGCCCAGAGTCTCAGGCGCAGGCGCCCCTGCCAAGCAACGGGACAGCTGGCCACCCCAAGTGGCTCTGGCTTTCCGAGGTCCCAGTCTATTCCCATCAGCCTGGTAAGGCCCGGCTGAGGAGGGCTGGAGACAACGATGGGGTCTCCCTGCTGGAGGAGAACACAAAGCAGGCCACAAGGGCACCAGAGTAGCAGGTGTGGCCCCAAAGGAGGCCAGTAGGAGGGAGATAGTGCCTGGGGGTCCTGGGAGCTGAGAAATGGCTAGTGTTCTCCCTAAGTCTGCCCCACCCTGGTACCTGGGCCCCAAATAAGGATTGTGGGTGGAAATGAGGTACCTCCTCACCTGGGGAGGGGGTCCAAATGTAGGGATCCATGCAGAAGCTGACGACAGGCCGGTGATGTAGCTGGGAGCTGAGAGGAAAGACAGTTGTGAACCACAGGGGGAGGGCGGGGAGGTCCCATGTGGGGTGGACACCCGAGAGTGAGCGCCCCAGGACCCACAAAGGGAATGGTGAGTGGGAACTGGGCTCGGGGGCACCAATGGGAAAGCTTGGGTCACGAGGACGGAGGCAGGACAGAGGCGGCAGGCCCACTCCCGGCATCCGGCCACCAGGCGGCAGCAGAAGCCGGCACAGGTAGGGACTGTGACTTGCCTGCCGCTGCTGGGCAGGAACTCCTCCAGGGTGCTGAAACGGAGACAGAGGCCAGTGAGCTGGCTGGGGCTGCCCAGGGGAGCATTAGCGGGGTGGAGACACAAGCCGGAGCCTCGCCTCCCGGGGGACCACTGCTTCTATTTGTAACAAGCCCAGTTCCGGAGCTGGCTGAGGAACCAAGGCTGGCCAGAAAACAGCCTCACCACAGAGGCTCAAGAAAGCTGATGATTGCAACAACAGCAAAAACATCCAGAAAGTAGGTGTATAGTTACATAGGTAGACATGTATGCATATACAGGAAGGCACATGTGAGTCTGTGCACATATAGGTGTATCAGTAGGCAGGTGTATACACGTTTGTGTGTACCGCATATACATAATAAAGCACATGGGGGCACAGTTACGTAGACTTCCTAGACATCCAGACAACTCATGCAGTTGGTTCACTGGGTTAAAAGGCTTAGGACCACAGTCTTGGGGAACAGCTTAGTCAATTGGCATAACATAGTTCACAAAGGTAATATTCTACACCCTGGTTTTGTGAGTAGCGTCTGGTGTCTCAAAAGCTTGCGAGCAGCCATATAAGATAAAACTTACTGGTCTCTACTCATCTGGGGCAAAAGAGAATGAAGGAAACCAAAGCCTCAAGAAACTAGTCCATAGGACCAATAGCCCACATGAAACCACAGCCTTCTTCTAACCTCAAACCAGAACAACTAGATGGTGCCTGGCTACCACTACTGACCATTCTGACCAGGGACACAATAGAAGGTCCCAGATAGAATGGAGAAAAATGCAGAACAAAATTCAAATTACTAAAAAAGGTCAGACCTACTGGACCAGTAGAGATTAGAGGAACCCCTGAGACTATTGCTCTAAGATAACTTTTGAACTTGGTGCTGATGCAACTCCTGGAGGTCACTTTCAGCCTAATAATAGATTGGCTTATAAAACAACATCACCCTTGAGTAATGTGCTCCCTTAAACAACTATATGAGACCAAATGGTCAACATTTACCAAAAAGCAAAGATGAGAAGACAAGGAGGGAAAGTGTCATGGACTGAATTGTGTCCCCCCAAAATATCTGTCAACTTGACTAGGCCATGATTCCCAGTATTGTGTGATTGTCTACCATTTTGTCATATGCTGTGATTTTCCTGTGTGTTGTAAATCCTGTGTCTCTATGATGTTAATGAGATGGGATTGGCGGCAGTTGTGTTAATGAGGCAGGACTCTTAGCTACAGGACTGGATTGTGTCTTGAGCCAGTCTCTTGAGATATAAAAGAGAGGAGTGAGCAGAGAGACATGGGGACCTCATACCAAGAAGAAAATATAGCCAAGAGCATGCATCCTCTGGACCCAAGGTCCTTGCACTGAGAAGCTCCTAGTCCAGGGGAAGATCGATGACAAGGACCTTCCTCCAGAGCCAACAGAGAAAGCCTTCCTCTGAATTTGGACTTTTAGCCTACTAGACTGTGAAAGAATAAACTTCAATTTGTTAAAGCCATCCACTTGCGGTATTTCTGTTATATCAGCACAAGATAACTAAGGCAGGAAGGGAAGCTAGATCAACAGAAACAGAACAAGCAGAATGCTGACATGTTATGAAAACTGTAACCAATGTCACTGAATAATTTGTATAAAAATTGTTAAATGGGAACCTAATCTGTGAACTTTCACATCAAACACAATAAAATATTTAAAAAAAAAAAAAGGCTGATGAGGGAAGCAGGCCTCAGGAAGAGGAAGGCCCAGGCTAGGGCCTGGCAGATGTGAGAAGCAAAAGTGGGGCTTGGCCCCCAAACCTTTCCTCACCTGCTTGTTGCCAAGAGCCCCTGTACTCCCAACACTGGCCCCCTGCCTTGCCAAGCCTCGGCCCCTGGAGGTACTAACCCCCAGCTGTTGGCCTTGGGGTCCGCGGGGAAGTGCCGCAGTCTCAGGAATTCCAGGAGCTCCTTGGGCACATCCTGGTTCAGGTACAGGACTCCCTGGAGAGGGGGACAAAGAAAGCCTGTAATTAGACCCAGCCTGGTACTTTGCACAACTGATTGCAAAATGAAAATGCAGGGTCCTTTGTTCAAAAATGATTAAGAATTCAAGGCGAGAGCAGAACATTACACCAAGCTCAGAGCCCTTCTGAACACCCTGAACACCAGGACCTGCATGATCACACAAGCTCTATGCCATGAAGCCCTCCTGCTGTAATCCCCCATCACTGTGGCTCGGGGAACCCCTAGCCTACTTCCCCATCACAGGGCCGCAGAGGATCCCACCCTGGGGTAAGGGAACTACCACTGAGCTGGGACCACCTGCCTCCTGGGTACCTCCTTCAATCCTTTAAACAAGCCAGCAAGGGATGTTTGGACTCATGGTTCAGAAAAATTGAGGTTTAGGGTAGTGAATAACATGCCCAAGATACGGGTCCCTCTCCGGGCCAGCAGATAAGGGCACCCAGAGTGCCCCACGGTACCTGGATGTAGGCCTCCAAGCCCTGTCGGCGCTGTTCCAGGCCCCTGGTCCTCCAGTTGGGCAGACGTTTCGAGGGGAAGTCGGGCACTTTGTATAGTTTCTTGATCTGCCAGAGATTACCGCGGTGCAGTCACAGCTCCCTGGCTGAGCCTCAAGCCCACTCCACCCTAGCCAAGAGTCCTCCCCACTCCTTCCCGCCCGCCCTCCTTTCAAGCTCTACCCTGGGATGGACCCGAGTAAATGGTGGTGGAGACGAAGGAGGCCCCAAGTCCCCCAGACGCCCGATGCCGGCCGGCTGCGCAGGGTCATGGTCAGTGCGGGCTGAACCTGCCTCCCTACGCCCTCCCGACGATGGCCCCGCAGCCCGCGGGCGGGCTGTGTCCAGGACCTGCTCCCTCCATGGACTGGGGCCATAAAGGGAGCGCACTGGGGCCGGAGGGCCGGGCCGGGCCAGGGTCGGTGAGTCGTCGGCGCCGCCTCACCCGCTTGTGCAGAGCGTGGAACTCGCTGTAGCGCCTCAGCACCGTGTGTCTGCGCCCGCGGCACAGCACCTCCACTCGGAACACCTGGCGGGCGGGCGGCAGGGCGCGCGCGTGAGGTCCAGCCAGGGGACCAGCAGGACCCGTACCGAGCGGCGCGCCTGCTCTCCCGCGCTCACAAGGCACAAAGCGGCCGTGGAGCGCCACCGCTCCCCGGGGACCCTGTCGCATCCCCAGCACCTGGAGGAGGGGCTGGCGGACCCAACCCTCTGCTCCGGACGGCTCCTTATGTGCCGGGACCACGGTCCGTGGGGCTGGCAAACCCAAGTGTCCCCAAGACCCTCAACACGCTGTCCCCCGACGGCCTGGTCCACCGCGCTCGGACGCCCCGGAGTCCCCAGGGCGCTCCGCAGGGGACAATCCCGCGGCGAGTCCCCGCGTCCCTCCCATCCCGGTGCCCCGCTCACCATGTGCCCTTTCTCTGGGCTCTGTCCGGACTCCTCGGCCTCGGGCCCCACAGACGGGATGTGAACTTCCAGCATCGGCCCCCGGGTCGGCTCCTCTCGCGACGCCGGGTGATCGAACTCCTCCGGAGCCGACCAGACAGCTCCGCCCCCGGGCGCAGGCCCCGCCCCTCCCCACGTTGACCCCGCCCCAGGCGTTCCCCGCGCCGCTGGGGCCGGCGCCCAGAAAATTAAGAAGGGCGCCGGGTGGCGGGAGCGAAGGGCAGCTCTCTGAGCTCACCGGGAATCCTCCGGTGGAGGGCCATCGGTTTGGCAAACATTTACTGAGTGTCCACTGATTGCGAGAAACGCGGGCGAGTCAAAATTTCACCTACCCTTTGTTGAGTGCCTACTAAGGAGCTGGGCCTGTGGGCGCCACACGTGGGCGGTGGCGGGGCCCAGCCCTCGGTGCCTGCCCTGGGGGCCAACCAAGGATATCGCTGGCGTTCCTCAGACCCTTCCTCGGGGCCGCACCGCCCCCCTTCCCCCTTCTCTCCCCTTCCAGGGCCCGTCCCTGGGTGGGAGTGCTGCCTGGAGACCCCAGCTAAGGCCATGCTTGGGAATGCTAGGACCCAATCCGTCTGATTACCCCCCTCCCAGCACCCACAGGCCTGTCCGTCCGTCCGTTCCTCCCTCTCTCCCTCCCTCCCTCACTACGAACCTGCTCCAGGTCCCTTGTGCCGGGGAGAGGCAGTTTAGGGACCTAGGCTCTGGTTTGGGGGTCAGACTGGATTTCTGGAACTGTTAAACATGTGTTCAGCTGTCTGATAGGGAAAATATGCCTCCCTCAAGAGACTAAAAATTGAGATCATCCATGTTAAGCCTTTAGCAGAATGAGTATTGAGTACATGACAGCTTGGTTGTGGCTGGTCCTGGAGGGGTAGGGGAGTGGTGGACAGTGGGAGGTGGCACCAGGCTGCTCTTGCTCACCGTTTTGGGCAGGGTCTTCCTGGACGTGTGGCAGGATTTTAATCTGGAGCACTCTCACTGTGTGCTGCTGTAAAGGGCCTCTGCTCCCACCTCTTAGCCACCCCCACCCCGTCAGAGGGAGCTGCTCTCACACCACCACGGCAATGTCTTCCACTCCGTGGCTTCTCCCTCACAAAGGCCCTGGAGGTAGTGGAGGGCCAGTACCTGCCTTCCAAGAGCTCACACCTAGTGGGGGACCCTGGGTGGGGAAAGAGGAAGTTAAGTGCCTATCTTGGGGGCTGGGAGGAAGGGCAACCACTGAATCACACCCCACCCCCACCCCCAAGCAGAAACTCTCCATTCCAATTCTGCCCCAAGGGAGGCTGCGAGGATCCCACAAGGTAGCAAGCAGGTCTCTCACCAATACTATCTCCTCCCCTTTCTTCTCCCAAATTCCACCTCATATGGGCGTCAGAATCAGGAAGCTGAAACTTCCAGGAGCCTGATGTGGTCCACTGAAAGGGAAATAACCCACCACCAAGAGAAGGGTTGAGGTTTCATTTCCTCCCTGGCACTACAGGGCCCGCCATTCAGGGACCAGCTCTCCTTGGCACACAGGGCCTCCACCACATTCTACTGTGCAGGACCGCCTCCCCCGTGACCTTGACTTCTCGACTTCTGGATCACACAGCCTATTGACCGCCCCTCTGTCTTCACCCCCATCACCCAGAAGACTGCTGTGTCCTCTAATGGGTCTCCTTTGTTCCCTTTCCCCCATACAAGGCTCATTCTCTACCCAGCAGCACAAACCATCATCAAGCCATCTGCATAAAACCCTCCAGTGGTTTCCCATTGCACTTAGAATAAAACCTACTCTCCCTGCCTGTCTGCAAGGCTCTAACTGACCCAGCCCAGCCTCCATCTCCCATCTCATCTCTTCGCCTCTCCCCCTGGTGCACCAGGCTCCAGCCACAGTGACCTTCCAGTTCTTCAAACCAACAAGCTTTTTCCTGCCTCAGGGCCTTTCCTCTACCTCTTCCCTGACTCTTCACCTGGTGGGCGCCTCCTCCAAGTCTCAGCCTAATACCTCCTCCAAGAGGCCTTCCTTCCTGACCACCCTATCATATCACTCAGTCTATGTACTCACTACACTCTTTAATTACTGTTTAGTATGTGTCTCCCTTACTTTCCCGCACGTTTCCCCAGACTCTGAGCGCCATCAGGCCAGGGACCTGGTCTGTGTGTCAGGGGTTGCCTCCGTGGTGCTCAGCATGTAGAAGGCACTCAACAGCCATGGAGGAGAGGGGGCAGGAAGGGAGCAGGGGTTGCTGAAGGGTTGCAGGAAAGCCTGCAGGGGGATAACGACAGGAATCTCCCATGGGCCTTCAGGTGAGACACCTGTCTCTTGACTCCTCCCACCCCCTCCAGAGAGCCGGAGCACACTGGGCCTGCCGTGCAGACGTGGAGTCCACAGCTTGCAGAGGACGAAGGCAACGATAGAGCGGGCCCCGGGAGGAAGGCTGGGTGTGAAAATGCCCCTCCCGACACGCCCCCGCCCTGCTTGCTGGGCGGCGCCCCCAAGCAGGCGCCCAGGTTGGCTCGGCCGCGGCTCCCCACCATGGCCCGGGCCCTCGCCCTCCGCCGCCGGCACACAAAGCCCCCTTTCACTGGCAGGCCTTCTGCTGGGCGGCGGAGGCTGCTCAGGCGGTTTGGTTACCCCTGGTAAGAAAACAAACAGCCCCGGGCCACCGGCCGGCGGGCGCCGCTGCGCACAGAGGCGCGATTCTTCTCTCGCAGGCAGGCAGGCTGGGGGGCGGCACGGGGCCACCCACCTGGGGCTTCACCTGTGTAACCCTTGGACAACCCCTTGAGCCTCAGTGTCCTTGTCTGTAGAATGGAGGAGCGTTGTCGCGTGGATTAAAAGAGGCCACGCTGGCGAAGAGTTCTGCATGGAGCCGAGAACACAGTATTAGCTATCAGTGTTTCATTGAATTACACAAATTTGCTGTTTTTTTAAATCCAGATCGGTGCGGTGGCCTATTGGCAATCACATATGGATCATTCTAATATAGTTACTGATTCAGCTTTGAAACAACAAAATTCTACCATTCTTCTTTCACTATCCTAAAATTGCAAGGTTAGCTAAAAACTGTTTCAACTACTAACTGTGACCAGGATTTTCCCTGATTTTCTCAATACTGGCAACTAGGAAAAAAAAATAAGAACTGGAAGCAGTGGTTGATGTAAATCAACTATCCTGTTCATTGAAACGGCCTCATAGTTCTTACTGATTCCCTTGTTTAATAAGTATATTTTATAAATTTGAAATACTTGAAATAATAAAATAAGTTTACAGTAAACCAAAAAAACCCGTGGCCGTCGAGTCCATTCCGACTCATAGCGACCCTGTAGTATACGGGTAGTCTCCCCACGGCCGCCTCATCCACGGTTTTCCTTTCAGTGGCTTCAGATACCGTGGTCAACCGTGGTCTGGGCTCGGCTGACCTGAACATGTACAGACTTTTCTTCTCATCATTATTTCCTGAACAACAAAGTATAACAACTATTTACACAGCACTTACATTGTATTAGGTATTGTAAGTAATCTAGAGACGATTTCAACTATAGGGAAGATGTGCATAGGTTATATGCAAATACTGTGTCATTTTATATAAGGGACTTGAGCATCCTTGGATTTTGGTATCTGCGAGGGTCCTAGAACCAATTCCCCGAAGATACAGAGGGATGACTGTATACTAATATTTTGTTCTGAATATTGGATTTCAGTGTAAGATGTTGTCTAAAAAAATAGTTCTGCTACTAAAACATTTTAAATTACTAAGCTAGTCTAAACCCTTCATCTTATAGATGAGGAAACTGAGGTGTGAGGAAGAGAAGTGGGTTGTTGAAGGCACCTCAGACAAGCATGTCCTGCCTGAGCTCTGAGAGCAAAGCTTGGCTCAGGGCAGAATGGCAACCTGCTCCCCAGGGGGCAGGCAGGCTCCAGACCCAGGGCTCCAGCCAGCAGTGTCACTCCTAGGGCCCCAGGGCCACCTGTCCCATGCCCAGATATAAGACAGCTTCAGACAACACAACCCAGAGCTGGCCAGGGGGAGCAGGCAGAGGCCACCCCAGCCACCTTGCATCCAAAGTAGCACAACTTTCCAGGGAGATTTTTCTGGTAATAACAAGGAATACCCCTCAGAGTGAGATGTCAGCTGACCAGCGAGTCGGCTCCTCTGGTGTGCCCAGCACTGGGGTTCAAGGAACAGAAACTCAGGTACCTTCAAGTAACGGGTTTATCGTGAAGAGAGCTGTGGGACCAAGGACTGAGGACAACAGGAAAGCCAGGCCAGAGGCCAGGAGGGGCCACAGCTCCAGGCCTTGAGCTTAGGACTGGAGGTGCCCCCGATTCACAGTCTAGTCCTGGTTGCTGTCTGTGGCTTCTCAGTAAGTGGAGATTTTAGTCTCTGTCACTGATGGCCTCCAGCTACTCACTGAAGCTGCTTTTGTGTTCCAGCTACTGCTCCTACTATCCAGGTGGGCAACCCATTGTGTATTCTGGGGAGAGAATACCTCACAGGCGTCAGAGTAACTCAAATGCCTACAAGGTCAGGTGGGTAACAAAATGGGACTTGTCCTTAACAGGCTGACTGTATGGATTCTGGTATTTAAGACAAAAACTTAGTTAGTGTCTAGGTTCCTCTTGTCCATCCTGTCTGGGTTGTGTGGGATACAGTGGGGCGGACTGAGTCAAGCAGACTGGTTCAAGTTTTACTTGGGTGGGACCTTGGGAAAGCTGCTTGAGATCTCTGAGCTGCAGTCTCTTTAGGTAGAAAATAATGCCCCTGGAAGGGCCATGGTGATGGGGTTGGCAGTGGTTGCTGTCGAGTCCATGCTGACTCACGGTGACCCTGTGTATACACGGTAGAACTGCTCCATAGGGTTTCCAAGGCTGTAACCTTTTGGAAGCAGAGCGCCAGGGTGTCTTCTGAGGCGTCTCTGGTTGGGTTTGAACCGCCAACTTTTCTGTTAGCAGTCAAGCACTTAACAATTTGCACCAACCAGCGACCTTGGTGATGGGGTACCTGTACTTGTCACTGAGTCGATTCCAACTCATAGCGACCCTATGGGACAGAGTAAAACTGCCCCATAGGGTTTCCAAGGCTGTAAATCTTTACAGAAGCAAACTGCCACATCTTTCTCCCCTGGAGCAGCTGGTGGGTTCCAACTACCAGCCTCTCAATTTGCAGCCAAGCGCTTAACCACTGCACCACCAGGACTCCTTGGTGATGGGGTAGCCCTGAGCACAGTGGCTGGCTCAGAGTAGGTGTTTAACAAATGGCAGCTCTTACTAGTTAATAAAATAGGCCCTGGGGTGGGAGGGCTGCCAGGTGCCTCATCATTTTTCCTGGTGAGGCTGCCCATGTTCCCGAGGGGAGACCTGCTGGTTTCGCCCCGGTGGTGGTCGCTGCTGCTGCTCATAACGGAAGAGGAAGCAGAGAGCTCCGAAGCTTGGAGGGGCAGTCATTTGGAAACAGCGGTCACATCTCTTTAGGGAAAGGTGCTATATCAGATTGGACAGGGTTTTTCTGGCCTCAGACAAAGTGCATCCTATGGAGACCAAGCAGCCAACTTCCTCTGTGCAGCCGGCTTCCTGCAGCCTTAGTGAGGGGGCTTTCTCCCCCACAGGTCTGGGGTCATAGCCGGGGACATTTCCACAACAGGCAAGGGTCAAAGGGGAGGAGGCCTGTCTGGGGCTATCACCTGGCAGCCTGCAGGCCCCACCTGGGGCAACGAACACCAATCCTGCCAGTACAGCAAGGCCCACTGAACCCCAAATTAGGCCACATTTCTGAAGCTCGGAAAAAAATCCCAAGATCTGGCCCTTAGTGGGCTCACAGGCTCAAACGGCAATAACTGGCTGGAGCTGAGGAGCAGCCCGTTCCCTTAGGCTGCCTCTGGGGGTGGGGAAAGACACCAAGATGAGCAGAAACAGCTACTCCATGACCTGAAGGAGGTCGGCGCCCGCCAGGCTAAACAGGTCATCTTGGGGACAACACTTCATCCAAGGGTGAGCGAGACCAGAGGTTTAAGAGGAAGACAGGCCGTGAAAAAGGAGGGCTCCCACTCCGGGCATGGGGCTGGGCTGGGGAGGGGGCCGGAGGAAGCTTCTGGGAGGATTTACATATGAAGAAGTAGGCCTCAAAGGATGCACTGGATTGTTCTCCCATAATGAAAATAGCTTTATTTTAAATTTCTGATTATAAATACACAGAAATTTCAAGCAGTATCAAATGGCATAAAAAATTAAAAATAATGCAAAATTCCATCCCTAGAGGCAATCACAGTTAACAATTCAATCAACATCCTTCCCATGTAATTTTATATAAATGTGGATCGTACCATACATGCAATTCTATAACCTGCTTTTTTCACTGAAAAATATATAATAGAGATATTTCCTTGTCAATGAATATAGCTATATATCATCTTCAACAGCTGTATAATATCCGATTAATATGGTTGTACCATAATTCGTTTAATCCCTTCCTGATGGACATTTAGATTGATTCCAGTTTTTGTAACTAGACAATACTATGATGCCCATCCTTGGACAGTCATCCTCATGGATTTGGTTTCTAGAAGTGTCTATGGGGATCCTCAGGGAAAGCTCTGAGACTGGTAAATGCCCTATCTCCTTTTACTTCTACTCGCATCCACCACGTTGACGACTAAAACAAAACCCACTGCTGTCGAGTCGATTCTGACTCATAGCGACCCTACAGGACAGAGTAGAACTGCCCCATGGGGTTTCCAAGGCTGTTATCTTTACAGAAGCAGACTGCCACATATTTCTCCAGTGGAGTGGCTGGTGGGGTCAAACCACTGACCTTTCAGTTAGCAGCCGAGCATTTAAGCACTGCGCCACCAGGGCTCCTCTCAAATGCCTGTTTCAGACAGTTATAATTCTGAGACTGAAGACAGGGACGAGGGCTGAGAATGAATGCTGTAGGCACAAAGCCCAGCATTAACAAAGGCTTCTCAGGCTACACAGAAGGGAGGTTAAGACCATATTTGGCATCAGTTTCCATGAGGTGTCAGCCACTGTTTCGAAGGACTGGGAGACAAACAAGGAAAAGTGAGCTGGGGTCCTCTCACGGAGGGCTGTGAATGCCAGGTGGCAGGGTCTGCAGGTGGAGAACAGTCATTCAACAGTTATCTGTTTGGCACCTGTTCTGAGCCCAGATTCCTGCTGGGGGCCATGGAGTGATAAAGACATACACCTCAGAGAGCTTACAGTTTGGTGGAGAGAGCCAACATAAAATCACACAACTGGTATCACGAGACATTGGCAGGTGATGTACACACCATTCTCGGAGTCCAGAAGACAGAGCTGAGGTGTTCGCATCCATTTCTAACACTCAGCTCACGTATGAATCTTAGCCAGTGTCTCCAAAGACAGTTCAGGGGCATGCCAACTGCAGCAAAGGTGTGTCCTTCTCTGCTCCAGGACGGTTCACTGTTAGCATTTCCTCCCTTCTCTTCCTCACCTGCTAGGCCGATGAGTACTGGTGGGGAAAATCCCACGAGCTTGGGGCTTGATGCCCCTTGAAACCCATGGTCTTCAACCCCATGTGGGCCCTGAGCATGCTCAGCACAGGACCCTCCTTCCATCGCCGCCCTCTCTCCCCTCAGTCCACATACTGGCCCAGCTTTGGCAGATCTGTCGTCTTCTCACCTTTGAGATCTGAGCTTCTGCAAAGGCATTCTTTATTTTCTTTAGGGTTCCCAGCTACAGGCGCATTTACAATGAAAATCTTCTGGAAAGAGTTCAGAAGTTACAAACATCTATTTGTAAGCGACACTTCTATTTCTCTCACTTATAACAGCACCGAATACTTATACTGAATACTAGGGTTCCTCCAGCTCACCTCTGTCTCTAGGCTTCATCTTTAGGGCTCTGGAGCCCAGAGAGATTCCTGGGAAAATAACTCAAAGGGAAATGTAGACCTGTCTCCACACCTCTAATTCACCAGACTCAAAATACGTAGACAAAATATCCCTGACAACATTTTAACTGTCAAGCATGAAACAGCTTTTCTGCCTTCCTTCCACCTACGTATTTCTTTCCCGCAGCCTCACAGAGGACCTTCCTCTGATCACAGTAGCTCCCTCCTCCTGGGTTCTGGACTGCATTTTCTCCAGGGCTTCCAGCTGTTTCCTTCGGCACCAACCCCTGCTGAAAACTTGCATTTCTAACAAGTTCCCAGGTGATGCTATTGCTGCTGGTTAGGGACCAATTCTGAGACCCACTAGTAGAGCAGTGGTTCTCAAAATTCATTGTAGGTAAGAATCACCTGGAAATCTTGTTAAACTATAGATTCTGATTCAGTACATCTGGGGTTCAAATCAGAAGAAACTGGTTTGAAGGGCAGATTTTCTCCCAAGAACAGGCTCTGATGGTTACTCCTTTCTTCTCTGAATCTTATTAACACGCTCAAGTCAGCCCAACCTTTAAATAAAACAAAACCCCCTTTTACTGTTGTCTCCCTCAACTCTAACCACTGCCTTCCCTTCCCATTCAGAGAAGCTTCTTAAACAACACAGTCAACACTTGCTGTTCCCACTGCTTCCTCTCCCATCGGCTCCAAAAACAATTTTGCCTCTTGTGTTTTACCTGCGTTGTGAAGGGCTTCCCCGTCTACCCCAACATCCAAGTCAGATTCCTGGTGTCATGCTTGCTACCTCCCCCTCCCACTCAGGCCTCTCATCAAATCAATGACTAGACCCCACTGGTCCCATCTCTACCTCCCAAACCTCTCCCCTCAGCCCTAACCCCATTACTACTGCCCTCCCCAGCTCTCTGGGTGGCTGTGATGAGCCTGGCTACTCTCCCTGCCTCCAGTCTCACACTTTCTGATATTTCTAAATCACAAATGTGACCATGTTATTTTCAGTCCCTTCAGTGGCTTTCCACACTAACAGGGTAACATTCAAAATGCCTCATGAGTTGTATCAGGCACATCGTGATTACCTTCTGCTCATCAATGTCTGTGAGGCACCTCACTGACCTGATTCTGGCCACACCAAGCCACTTCCACTTCCCCAGATGTACCCACCTCACACTGCCAGGCAGACAAGAGAGGTGGAATGGTTCCAGCAGAAGGAGCAAACACATCTTCTCCTTTTCAGACTCACTTCAAGCATCACGTTCTCCACAAATTTCTCCCTCCTGAGTCCCCAGATGGAATGGCTCCCTTTTCTTTTGTGCTGCTGTTATTCCCCATACAGGCTTATGGCTCAGTAACCCTGGTCCCCTAGTGGCCTTCTCTGTTTGCACATCTGTAAGCTCTGCCCAGAAATTCACAGGCCCTGAAGACAACGGCTCTGTCACCAGCAGGATGCAGGAGGCTAAGGAGGAAATTCTGAAACCAGAGGAGTATCCATCCCAAGGAAATAATAAAAACAGACTTGCATCAAGACGTTCATTAGATGGAACATAAAGCAAGGAGAAGTTTTTAAAATTAAGTCTCTCTGGAGAAGACAGTTACAATACAGAAAACTAGAATAAACCCTCTGGGGCAAGACTGCAAGTATGAATTCAGGATTTTAAATATCTAACTCTTTGTGTCATCTATCTCCATTTCTCTATATATCTCCTAGCTCTGTGTTCTGGAAATCTAGAAGCAGTAACACCCTACCAGCAATGAGCACGCTCAGCACCCAAATCTTGGTTTCTAAATACCATTCTCCACTAAAAGGAATCAAGACTCCCTGGAGAAATGGCTGATTCCAGGCCTGGGGCAGGCAAGATACAAGTGCTCAAAAAATGATGGGAAAGATGGTGACTTAGACTGATGCACTACAATATCCCCATTTATCAAAGACCTGAGAAGCCAGGTGAAACAGATACAGATGACAACTTTGGAACCTTAAACATCACACGGAAAGATGAAGAATTAGATCGAGTTCCAAGTGGAAAGAGAGACAGAAAGAAAACAGCTGATGCAGAGACACAGACTCTCAGTGTCTTGCCACCTGGCCTGGCACAGCGTGGCTATCTTGGGACAAAGCGGGCCGCATTCCTGGGTGAGGAGCACAGGAAGACAACTATACAGAACTCACAACACGAGAAAAAGATACTGTGTAAACAAACCTGGAATGAAACAAGGTGAGCAGGATACAAGCCAGGCTAAAAAGGTAAAGTGAAGGAAGACAGGGGAGAGCTCCAGAGATCCTACTGACCATGGAGAAGGGAGGGAGCTAGGAACTGAGGAAAGGGGCTGTTCATCAGTGGCAGAGCCTGGTTATTTGGCCAGGAAACCCACTGGATAGTAAAACCACAGAGTAGCAACTAGAGGACCCCCAGTGGCCAGCCTCCGTGTCTGTCCCCCCATATTTAAATGGGCCAGACCGCAGTCACCTGGGGTGGCCAGGCAGGAAAGACCTCTGCACCTGTGACCAGCAGGGACAAGCCCATGCCCATTGTCCGGAGACTGGTGGGAGCGCGCCTGTAGTCCGGCGACCTGTGGGAGCATGCCTACTTCCTGGTGACTGGTGGGAGCATGCCTGCAATCTGGCAACTAGCAGAACATCTGCTACCTAGCAACTGGCAGGAGCACCTGTCCGATCTGGCAACCAGCAAGAGCACACCTGCAGCCTAGTTACCATTGCGAGCACACCTGCAGCCTGGTGACCAGCGGGAATGTGCCCACTGCACAGTGAACAGTAGGAGTGCCCCAGTGTCCACTGCCCAGTGATCAGTGCGATCCTCCCAAGCCTGCACAGTAACCAAAAATGCACCCAGTACCACTGCCCAGTAACCAACAGGTATGCCCCACGCTGTAGCCCAGCAACTAGCAGATGCACCCCTGTGCACTCTTCCAACAACCACCTGGCATGGCTTGGCAGGCATATCCCATCACCAGTGTCTGCCAGGTGCATCCCAGCAGATTCCAACAACAAGCAGGCATTCCCTGTGTCAATACCCAATGACCAACTGGCTGCAGTGACACCCATCCTATGCCCAGTGAGTTCCTGCAGGCCAAGCCCACATACACTGAGACCCCTTGATCTCCCACCATCTACTGAGACACCAGTTCATGCCCGCAGGAAGGGCCTACCCCATCCATTTAGGTAGCACTGCTTCCTTACGGCTATGAAGACGACCTGTCCTGTTCTCCAGTGGATGCACTAATTGCTAGCACCAACCTCAAAGGACCCCACAGTCCCACAAGGGCTGTGGAGGGATCCAGACCACCCATCACTTGTCACCACAAAACAAAGAACCAAGATGAAGCAAACAAACATACAATCAAATAAAATAACACCTTAATGCCTCAAAGACAGTAGACAATATTAAATCATATAAAGATATAGGACAAGATGGCTCAAGCAAGTGACCAAAATAAAGGGGCAGAAAATTTTCCTGAGGAATAAATGGCAATAGAACTATAAGATAAGGAATTCAAAAGACTTACATATAGGATCCTCAAAGAGGTCTAGAAAATTTCAGGAAAACAATACAAGAACAAAATGACAAAATAAACAAACAATTAGAAATTATATGAATGCAGCAACTAGAAATCCAGAAGCTTAACAATAAAATATCAGAAACAGATAACACAGTGGAAGGTCACAGCAGTAGAACTGAATCAATGGAAGAAAGGATCAGCAAAATAGAGGACAAATTCCCTCAGTACTAATATATTTGAGGAACAATCAGAAAAAATGAATAAAGAAAAATGAAGAAAGCCTAAGAGTTATGTGGAACACTATCAAGAGGAACAATCTATGCATGATTGGAATTCCAGAACAGGAGACAAGAAAAAGCATGGAGAGACTTTTCAAAGAATTGCTGGCATAAAACTTCCCTGCTATCATGAAAGACGAGAAGGTTTACATCCAAAAAGCTCAGCAAACCCCAATGCAGCACAGACCCCAAAACAAAGTCACCAAGACATATCATAATCAAACTTTCCAAAACCAAACACAAAGAAAGAATTCTTGAGAGCAGCTTGTGAAAAACGAAATATCACATACAAAGGGACACCAATAAAACTAAACTCTGACTTCTCTGCAGAAACCATGCAGGCAAGGAGGCAATAGGATGACATATATAAAACCCTGAAAGAAAAGAAATGCCAACCAAGAATCATATATCCAGGAAAATAGTCTCTCAAATATGATGGCAAAATTAGGACATTCCCAGGTAAACAGAAATTAAAGGAATTTGTAAAAACCAGACCAACCTTACAAGAAATATTAAAGGGAGTCCTTCGGACAGAGAACCAACAACATCAGATAACAACCTGAGAACAAGACACAAGATAACATCACCCAGATACCAACCCAGACAAAGAACTCTCAAAATTAAAATACTGCCAATAACGCTGAAAACAGGGAACTAGAGATGTCAATCTGAAATCGACCACAAATGGTGTAGTTATAGAACTTCCATATGGAGAGGAAGTCAAGGCAGTGTCAAAAAATAACAGACTGTTTTAAACATAGGATGATAAAGGTAAACCTTACAGTAACCACAAAGAAAATGAACAAACCTACCAACCAAAATAAAGAAAAAGAAAAGCAAAAAGACCCAGTAAACACAAAATCAACAAGAATGAAGGAAATGAAAAGACAATCCATGAACAAAAAGAACTCAACACAGAAAATTAAGTGGAACAAAGAAACCTTCAACACCACAAAAAAAAGCATAACAAAATGATAGTAGTAAATTCGTATCTATTGATAATCACACTGAATGCAAATGGTTTAAACACACCACTCAAGAGACAGAGAGCAGCAGAACGGATTAAAA